TCACAGCTTGCCTAGCCATTCATGTGTTCGTGAATGTTTTTGGTGGTTTTCAGTTTTGGGCCATGACTATCAAATGTTCATAATGTCATATGGTAGGTATACATTTAACTTTTTAAAAAATTGCTAGATTGCTTTCTAAAGGGATACTACCAGTGGTGTACAAGAGTCCCAATTTCTCCATATCTGCCAGTATCCGGTATTGTCAGTCCTTTTAATTTTAGCCCTTCAAATATGTGTTTATTCATATCTCATTGTGGTTTTAATTTATATTTTCCTAATGACTAATATTAAATATCATTTTTTTGTTTGTTTTGAGTCAGGGTCTTGCTGTCACCCAGGCTGGAGTATCAGTGGTGTAATCATGGCTTACTGCAAAATACAAAAATTAGCCAGGCGTGGTGGCAGATGCCTATAATTCCAGCTACTCAGGAGGCTGAGGCAGGATAATTGCCTGGACCAGGGGGTCAGAGGCTGCAGTGAGCCAAGATCACGCCAGTGTACTCCAACCTGGGCAATAGAGTAAGACTTTGTCTCAAAGAAAAAAAAAAAAAGAATAGTTTTATCCAAGTCACTGATAAGGCTGTTGAATACAACAGTGGTAGGCCTGGAAAATAGAGACTTTGTGTTTTTCTCTTTTATTTATTTTGGATTTCCTTTTCTTTCTTAATCTGCTTATTCTACTGTTTCTGGCTTCAAGGGCATGCTTCCTAGAAAAAAATTAACTAAATAGTATTGGAGTAGTTGTACTGTTAATGGAAGTCACTGTGCTTCTGAGTTTCAGTTTTCCTGCCTTAGCATCCCCTGTCCTAGTCTTATTGCTGGACACTGATGGAATTAACATGTTTGGCTAAATTAGTCCCTAGGCTGTTTATGTTCCTTGAAATGAGTGACTAGACTAACAAACAAAAATCTTGTTTAAAACTAGTGGAAGTGAATTAATCTGACCTCAAGTCTTTAGGAGCCAGAATGGAAGTAACTCTCCAGTTATTAGTTTAAATGATCAAATTAGGTAAAGTCTCCATTAGGAGTTCCAGCCAGCCTCCAAAAATGGCATCAATTAACATCCAAATAGTGACATGATTAAGAATTAGAAGTCTATTCCAACTTTGGCTTTCTACATTGATCAATGTTTTGATTTTAAGCAAGTAAAAGATAAATTATTCAGGGCTAACTAGAGAAGGGAAGAAGGGCTGCATGGAGAGGTAATGTGTTTTGTTGTTCATTGTGCCAGGCACTAGGGGAACACTGGCATATCAGCCTGGGTGCAGTCAGGAGACAGAAACCACATAGTGATGTAAACAGAAGAAATTTATTACGAAGTACCATTAAACTGTAATAAAAGAGTACCTAGAAGGTGTAAAGAGGAGAGTACCCAAGGCAGCACAAACTTGGAAGGTAGACCCCTTCCCAAGATGCCCTTTAGACATTAATGCAGATAGTGTGACTACAGCTACTGATGGCAGAGAAATTCACTGGATTGCCTATGTCAGAGCTGGCCCCAGTTGCAGAGAAAACAGAAAGCAATCCTCCGGGGCTTGGGTGCAGGTGATCTGCAGCTGGCGGCTGGGCACACAGGTGGAGCTGGGGTATGGCTGTGGGTGACAGGCATAAAGTATGCAATGTGTGTGTCAGGAGAGCTGTGAAAAACAAACCTGAGGGGTAGGGGGAAGGCTAGCAGAGAGAATTAGAGCATTACTGCGGACGGGAGGCCCAGAACACCCAGTGTCTGCTTCAGGAAGGATGTGGGGAGGTGATCACCAGGCTGGGCTGGTGCTGAGGTTACTGAGGGACATGTGTTTGGGGCATGCATACCACTGGATGTCCTCATATCCACACCACTGATGGGCTGTGCAGCAGCTGGACCAAGAGAAGCCTTTTCTTTCTGTCGTGTTGCCCCTCCATTCTCCAGAGGAATCCTAGCATCGTGTGCTGTACAAGAGATATACTTAAAGGAATTTCATCTGTTACCAAAGAGCTTGTATTGAAAGGTAAATTTGGAGCTGAGTAGCGATAAATTGGTACAGGTGGTTACTAGAACACAGTCCTATCTTCAAGGAATATGGTCAGATAGAACTTTACATGTGTTACTTCACTTAATCCCAACAACCCTGAATGTTAGAATGGTAGAATCTATCATTCGCATTCTTAAGACAAAGAAATCAAGCTTCAGTGATATTGGGCAACATCCCCATGGTCACACAGCTGTTGCATGGTTAGAGAGCTGTCAGGCACTCACACTTTTGCCCATTTTGTTTTACTCTGTTCTCAGTGCTATCCACCTTTAAAGGTGCCTCATTCATAAGCTTGTATATTCTGTTTTTGTTATAAAAATTAAATGTAAAAATGCAGGACAAACTACCTTTTAAGGTAAATGAGGATTTGATAGAGCTATTCTGTGATATTTGGAATTTCTTGGGAAATCAGGATACCCATATAGTATGTTTCACTTCATTAACAAACAGGAGTTTAAATGATCGAGATGGGCAAGATTCAGGAAAGATGGGTATTGCTGAGATTCAGGAAGCGCATTGATCTACACGCAAGGTAAACAAGAAATCAGTTCTTAAACTCTAGACTCAGTAATGAAATGACAAAATGTTAAAGATTTTAAAACCAGTTAAAGGGGAAAATATATATTGCCTACAAAGAAAGAATTTTTTGATGGAAAAAAAACAAATGTAAGACAGAAGACAGTGAATTATCTTTAAGAATATGGTAAGTTAAGTGCTTATCAAGTGCTAAAGCTTAGAAAGTACTCCTTAAATACCTCTTTATTATGGAAGTAAGGTAGAAAAAATCCTGGGCAGCTTTTGTAAAGACTTGGAAATAAATGAAAAGAGCATCCATCCTTACAGGAGAATGAGTAGTTCAGAGTACAGACAGAAGAAAGACTTGCATTTATCAGATAGAAGAGGTGGTGACTTCTGCAGAGCAGTTTCAGTAGAGAGGGGGGGACAGTCATTTAATTACTTGGTAGTGAAAGAAAGAACCATGGTATGATGAATTACAGCTTAACAATGAGATCAAATAAATATATATTTTTAAAAGAGGAGCTAGTAATGTCCTTAAAATGGAGAATGAAAAGTTTCTATGGGGATAAAAATGGAAGGTTTTTAAAGTATGTGTAATTTTAAGTATTATTATTTTTTCAAAATGTGCTTATATACAGTCCTGATCTGGGATATATAAGTGGAATCATAATCATGAGATAAGGGAAATACTATCATAATTTAGTCACTATATTGTTTTGTGGAGCCAAAAAGCACTGTCAGGATTTAAGGAGTCTTAAAGATACCTCTTGAAAATCCATGCTGTCCCTCCAAAATCAGAGACCTCCCAGATAGAGATGACTCTATATCTTCCCTTCCTCCACATCGTCACATGCCCCAAGCTCCAACTCGAATCCTGGAATGGATTCCCTTTTCTCCATTCTTTTTAGATTCCGGAAGGGGTCCAAGGCACAAAGGACCATAAATCAGGGAAGGAGGTGTACCCCTTTCTTTGTTTATGATACATACATGTTTCTTGCTCTCTGTGTGATTTATAAGTGATGCGGTGACATCTGCACCTTCACATACTATTTCTGTAAGGATGAGCGTCTTCTCTTCCTCCAGCCTCCCGTTGCCTGAGGTTTTTGAGCAGGCTCTACTAAACTGAGAAAACTGATCATCAGGGATGCAGAGGCAGCACAGCCTATAGATCTTTTTCTAACTTCTCATATCATTTCTGGGCCATCTGGCAGATATGAGTGTCCATCACTCTAGTCATGAGTCATGTTTCATGTAGAGTTGATGTTTTTATTTCCTCCAGCTTCAAAACCTTTCATTGATAGTGCCTTTTCCTACATATGCATGAGTAGGAATTACCCAATTTTACGCATGGAGAATCTTATGAACTAAGAAGGGGAAGGAAATACCATTCATGCTGACTGGCTTCTGTTAGTTTCCAGGGCTACTCAGCAATCCCTTTATTCACCCTGGTAGGTGGTCCCATCATAATGCCCTTCTCACCTTCTACCTATCAACCCTGTATACCCTCACTTTCTGTAGGTGACCCCCCACCACACTGCTCTGAGATTCCTCAGCTGTCCTCTCCTCCCTTAGGACATCTTGGTGTCACTACCAACTGTCTGTCTGTCCACTGCCTCTCTCTTTTCTGGACCCATCTTTGCTTGTTTCTTTAGCACCTTGAGCTGTGAACTACACTCTGTCTCTCTGTCTTCCTGGACTCCCTCTTTTTCCCTACAAATATGTTCAGCTCTCTCCTATCCCCCTTTTAACCTAGCAAACCCCACCCAAGAGCCCATCTTCTTTTAACCCTTCCTTTCTCCTAAAGTCCTGGGTATGTCTTCGTCAGGACCACCATCCTGCAGGTCCTCATGGCCTGGCCTTGCTGTCCACCACTTATTTCACAGAAACGGCACCCTCCACATTTACCCATGAGTTCCCCACACCTCCAAACACACAGCACATTCTTCTATTATTCTGCATTGCCCTGTAGTATCATCTACCACTTCTCATTTCTCCTATTTCTGTTTTTTGCCTCTCTCTCGTTTCTTTCAACTCTACATAGTTATATGTATTCTTTATCTTTCTGAAGGGAAATTTCTGGATTGTAGTGTTTATCCCTCCTTATAGGGTGCAAATAGTCCCTTGTGCTTAGTGAGTGTGCTTAGTGAGTGTGTGTAGTGCTCTGTAAATCCTTACAATGGATGATGGATGAATCTCCAGCAACGGGTTGATGACTTATAAATCATTGGAGGCATGGTGGCTCCAACTCATATGTACATATTAGCACATGTGCCCAAGACCTTTCTTTTTCTCTCTACTTCTTTCTTTTATCACTTCTTTTCACAAGCCATTGCATCCCTGTATGTAGAAAGCACTTGGAATGTAAGGCAAACAGGGTGTCCACCATGTCCTCAAGGATCTCACGGTGACTTCTATTATACTTTCCATGATGGTTTTTAAATAAATGTTCAGGGGAAGGTGAGGGATAAGTTTTTTTTTTTTTTGCAATGTTAATTCACTTTATTTTTCTTGTATAAAAACCCTATGTTGTAGCCACAGCTGGAGCTTGGGTCCTCTGCACAGAGACTCTGGTGTGGGTCTTGACGAGGTGGTCCGTGAATTCCTGATAGGGAGACTTGGTGAATACAGTCTCCTTCCACAGATCGGGGGTCAGGTAGCTGTAAGTCTTAGAGATGGCATCAAACGTGGCCTTGGCGAAGTTGCCCAAGGTAGCAGTGCAGCCCCTAGCTGAGGTGTAGCAGTCATCGATACCAGCCATCATAAGCAGCTTCTTGGGCACAGGTGCTGAGACAATGCCAGTGCCCCTGGGCGCAGGGATGAGGCGCACCAGCACAGAGCCACAGCGGCCTGTCACCTTGCAAGGGACGGTATGAGGCTTGCCGATCTTGTTCCCCCAGTAGCCTCTGCGCACGGGGACAATGGAGAGCTTGGCCAGGATGATGGCTCCACGGATGGCAGTGGCCACCTCCTTGGAACACTTAACACCCAGACCGACGTGACCATTGTAGTCCCCAATAGCAACAAACGCCTTGAACCTGGTGCGCTGGCCTGCACGGGTCTGCTTCTGCACCGGCATAATCTTCAAAACCTCATCCTTGAGAGAGGCCCCCAAGAAAAAGTCAATGATCTCAGATTCCTTGATGGGCAGAGAGAAGAGATAGATCTCCTCCAGAGATTTAATCTTCATGTCTCTGACCAGGCGGCCCAACTTGGTGACAGGCACCCACTCCTTATCCTCGGCTTTGCCTCCGCGAGCTCCGCGGCCTCGGCCCCGGCCCCGTCCACGGCCGCGACCCCGGCCCCGAATACCACTGCCGAAACCTCCGCGGAAGCCACCGCGGTTCCCCATCCCAGGGCCCCCGGGGCCTCCAGGCCCCCCCGCTGCACCGGCGTCATCAGCCATTTGGTGTTTTATCGGAGAAGAAGCGAGGGATAAGTTTTAAAATGACCAAATAATACATAACTCTTACTAAAAATAGTTAAGAGTTTTATAAAGGAAAGTGTCCATTTTCTTTCTTCAACACCTATTCCTTCTAGTACTGCTCCACATGCAAATATATTGACACTCAGATATTCTTTCAAAGTCTAATATTCTACATTTAGTTTTAAATTATCCTGTTTTTCTCTCAGTAATGTATCAAGAGCTTCCTCCCACATCTGTACTTACAGTCTTCCCATGATGGCTTTGGCTCTGAGAGTTCCAAAGTGAAAGTGATATTTTAGGAAAACCAGGCTGGCTTGGAATGCAACTCATCCCAAACGGAGAGAAACTCCTGTCAGTGAGATGGACTGGAGAGATTGCTTGGGGATCTGAGTATAATGGGAAGAGTATCTCAGTCTGGCCAAACTGGGTGACAGCAGTAGAAATGCATAGAAAGAAGTCAACCTATGGGCTGTTTTAAGTGTGGACCATTCAGACTAGTGGTGTCTGAATATAGAGTAAGCGAGGGAGGGAGAGGAGGGCCCAGTGATCTCAGGTTGTTGAGGCTTCATTGCTTTTACCTTTTCCTTTTCTGAGGGCTTTCTGCCTCTGCTGGCCTCCCATTTGATTTTAAATTCAGTCATCATGAAAAATAGAAATTTGTGCCATGGTAACTCTTAGCATGAACTCCGTGAGGGTGAGGACCATACATATTTTACTGTTGCATCCCTAGTGCCTAGAAAGATTCTTATTGTATAATAGGTGCTCAATAAATACATACTGCATGACAAAGCTAGGGCAGCCTTGATTTGCTTGTTTGCTGCACTAAAATGTTCATCTCAAAAAGGCTGCTAAGCTGATTTATCCTCTCAGTGTCTTGTCTTTTACCCTGGCACAACCCCTTTTGTATCTAAAGCTGGGAAGGTTTATCACAGCCCCTAGGGCAGGGAGCTCAGAAGAGAGCCAACAGACCTGCACAGCAGGAAACTGAAAATAGCTACCAGAGCAATCAAAATTAAACTCCTGGATCCACCTCTCTGGGCCTGGCTTTAGACGACATCATTTACGCTAATGATGGAAAATTAAATTAGGCCACGTTTAGAAAACTTCACAAAATTAAATACTGTCTATGAGGGAGGGAATTACCCTGTGGAGAAAGTAACAGGGGAGCAGGGAAACCAGGCTGATCACACTTTTGCAAAATGATTGGCTGGTATCAAATTTCATTACTCTGTGCTTCACTTTATTCCTCTTAAATGTGTAAAGGGAATCAATATAGAATTTGTGCAAAGTATTGAAGGATCTCAGAAGGGAAAGCGTGTGTAAAATAAAACAAACACTTCTTCCCTTGACTTCTCTCCCCGCTACCAAATAGGCACTGGCCTGGGAGTCCATCACATATTCTTGACCTTTTCTGGGATACAAATACATTTGAAAATCTGGTAAAAAATGTATTTTCTGCATAGAAAAATATTATTCTTACAAAGTTTTGAATTTTAGGAGAATTCATGGACCCCAGAGTCCAGCAGGTTTATGAATTCCAAGGTAAGACTCCTTTTTTGCCAGTAAGTGTTGTATGTCATCTTTGAATATTTGCATCTAAAGCTGGAAAGGTTTATTATTGGCTGTTCTGCTTCTCAAGTAAGAGTAGGAGGAGAAAAAAACAAACCAATCTAACTTTATTAATGATTTAGTGTTTGAATGGTTAATAAATTTTACTTACCAGCCAAAGAGGCATTTGCATTTTGTTAGAGGAGTTTTATTATTCCAAACAAACCATTCTCATGTTGGCAAGTTTCAGATTATTAAATGGAAGAGGATTCACATAGGAGGGGCCTTTATGTTACCCTCAGTGTCCTTGGAATCACATGGACAATGGGGATGGACTAGGGCCTGGGTTTTACACTGACGTGTAAAGACTATGTGATGGCTCAGGGTCAAGGGCCATTGTGTGACCAACCCTAACCCCTAAGGTAAATAATGATTGCTCTTGATTTGGAGCTGTAGCCCCTGCCTGACAAACCTTTAATATTAATAGATAACCTCTGGGGTTGTAGTAGGACAGTGTTGTAGCTTACCCCACAGCTTGAGCATTTTGCACCAAACACCCATCTGGAAACAGCTGCAGGTCAGGTGCAGTGACTCACGCCTGTAACCCCAGCACTTTGGGAGGCTGAGGTGGGTAGATCACAAGGTCAGCAGTTCGAAACCAGCCTGGCCAATATGGTGAAACCCTGTTTTTACCAAAAATACAAAAAATAGCTGGGCATGGTGGCACACACCTGTAATCCCAACTACTCGGGAGGCTGAGGCAGGAGAATCTCTTGAACCTGGGAGGCGGAGGTTGCAGTTAGTCGAGATCGTGCCATTACACTCCACCCTGGGCAACAGGGTGAGACTCCATCTCAGAAAAGAAAGAAAGAAGGAAAGAAGGAAGGAAGGAAGGAAGGAAGGAAGGAAGGAAGGAAGGAAGGAAAGAAAGAAAGAAAGAAAGAAAGAAAGAAAGAAAGAAAGAAAGAAAGAAAGAAAGAAAAAAAGAAAGAAAGAAAGGAAGGAAGGAAGGAAGGAAGGAAGGAAGGAAGGAAGAAAGAAAGGGAGAGAGAGAGAGAAAGAAGGAGGGAAGGAGGGAAGGAGGGAAGGAGGGAAGGAAGGAAAGAAGGAAAGGAAGGAAGGAAGGAAGGAAAGAAAGAAAAAGAAAGAAAGAAAAAGAAAGAAAGAAAAAGAAAGAAAGAAACTGCAGCAGTGCCCTGTCCTCCGGCCTGGTTGAGTATGCTTTCCATGACTTCCTTCTTGTGTCCTGGCACAGTTGGGAGGAAGGATGGTGATGTCATACCTCTGAGAGCACAATCAGACTGTGAGCCTCGGCTTCCTCTCTGGCAGCAGACCTCAAACTGGAGAGGTGAGGATGATGACTGCAAGGTCCAGAGGGTTAAACACAGAATTCGGGAAAGATGGGGTGGGAAGAGCTGGGTTGTCTGCAAGTCTCCAACCGCTTTATCAGGAGACCCTGAGACCTGGCTCTTGAGGAGTTATAGCCTTTCTCAGCTGCTGGCAGTCATCACGATTAAAACCATGATTAACTGAGGAGTCCTCTGTATTTGGCTTACCATTTCTGCCTTCAAATTCTTATTAATCTTTCAAAGTTTATTTTACATAACACATGCACCAGGAATTCTTTCCTGATTTTATCCCATCCCCACAGTGGGGATCTAATTTCTATTTGTCCTTGGGACCCCTAAGGTGCTATATAGCCCTTAAGTTCATCCTTTTATTGTAGTTTATCTGTCATATTTTTTTATAGGAACTATATCTTACCCATCTTTGGAGCTGCTTAACCACTGTCTCTCACACAGTGAGAGAAAGAAGGAGGGAAGGAGGGAAGGAGGGAAGGAGGGAAGGAAGGAAAGAAGGAAAGGAAGGAAGGAAGGAAGTGCTCAATACATATTTATGTATTGAGCTCAATACATTATGTATAGTGCTCAATACATATTTATTCAATGTAATTGATTTCTTAAACTTTTGCACAATTTCCAGAAATTAATTACACTCATTCTGTAGACTTTTATCCAGGATTGAGCGGATGAATGAATGAATCAACCCACGTATAAACATGTGTTGAGCACTGAACGCAGCCCATATGTGAAAGTATTTGGGAACAGTCACAAAAAATGTTAACATTAGAACGTCAGAACATATGTTCTAATAGAAGATAATAAGCCGCACACAAATAATACTAAAAAGACAGCATTGCAGTTGAGAACACTGAGAAACAAGAAGTCCAGTGACCTTGTTCAGCTTTGCTTGGGAAGAGAGCCCAACACCTCTTGATGTTATGGATTTAACCACTAAGCAAGGCTGCCTTTGAAAATGTATACCCTCCTTCTTCTGGTTGGCCAAGGATGCCAGTCCAGTCCCATTACTGCTGTGCAGTTAGCTCTTTGCTTTAGGGCCTAATTGTCTTTTTGTGGATTATTTTGGCCTTTCACCTCATCTCTTGTCTCATTTGTTGCAGTTTTTACTGATAATTCATAATGATCAGGAGGCGGGTGGGAGAAATGAATCCATCATAAAGGGTAAATGTGTCCATCTTGTTTTTATTAATTGCTCCAATAACAGGTTTTTTGGAGGGGATGAGCAAGAAGAACCTCAGAGTGGCAGCCCCTGACGGGTGAGATCTGCACATGAGCTTATTGTTGCTCACTGTCTTCCGTCAGCACATAATTGATTGTTGGAGATGGTCCTGAGTGCTGGGGGAGGTGAGGTGGTACAGGTGCATTTCCTTCCAGAGTTGGAGCAGCTATCTAGGCGCTGGGCCAGTGGTGTGTCCTCAGACTCAAACACTATTAAAAATATATAGAGAGATGAGTGCAGTGGCTTGAGCCTGTAATCCCAGCACTTTGGGAGGCAGAGGCAAGGCAGATCATAGGGTCTGGAGTTCGAGACCAGCCTGACCAATATGGTGAAACCCCATCTCTACTAAAAATACAAAAATTAGCCGGGTGTGGTGGCATGTGCCTGTAATCCCAGCTACTCGGGAGGCTGAGGCAGGAGAACCACTCGAACCTGGGAGGCGGAAGTTGCAGTGAGCTGAGATTACGTCATTGCACTCCAGCCTGGGCAACAAGAACGAGACTCCACCTCAAAAAAAAATATATATATAGAGAGAGATATGTATACACACATGTGTATACACACATCCTTTTTTTTTTGTATGTATATATGTATGTAAGAAGAATTTTTTTAGTAAAAGAGTTAAACCTAAATTTCTCCCAGTTGCCTTTGTTCACTCATGAGAAGGACAAAACCCTAAGGAAACAATTTAGCCTGTTAAATGCCTCAGCTGATGCAGGGGAGTTTGAAAAGTTATGTGTAAAAGAGAGACTGCAAGACTCATAAACAGATCCCAAGAGAGCATGTTGTATTCCTGGCCAGGCCTCCCACCCTTCCAGCCCTCATATATCCACATGAGCCCCATCCCTCATGTCCTGAGAGCCAGGAGGAATTCAC